ACAGTTATGGGGATATATTCAAAGACGTCTCGAAATGGTAACAAGGTTGTGTCCAAGAAATGAGTTCGAAATGAAGAGTGCCAAAACATTTGAAATTCAAACGCAAGCGGGATGTTCGAAATTTAAAATATATGCGCTGGAGCATTCGAAGACGCGTGGAAGCTAGAGGAGGGCATTGCTTTGCATGTTCTGAACGTGGCAGAATCTTATAGCAAGACCGTTATGGTCGAAGTAGTATAAATAGAAGTCTTAGCATTAGGATTTCGTGTGTCATATCTATTGTACAAAAATTCAGTAAACATTCAAAATACCACATGGCTAGGGAAACGAATGCTCGAACAATGTACGTATGATAACACCAAACGTTTATGATTTAATAAAACTCTTTATCATTTCCAGTTCTTTCATCTATCTTCATGTCAATATCATTCAAAAGCCTTTACATTAAAGTATTTTCATTCGAAGTCTTTTTACTGATGTCTTGCATTTAAATGTTTTCTTTCCATTTCAAATCCTTTACATTTCAGAAATAACTTTTGTATGTTTCATGCCTTTATCTTCATGCCTTTATCATTCGAATACCTTTTTCGTTTAAAATCATTTTACTGATTTCTTGCATTTAAACGCTTTCTTTATATTTTGAGTCATTTACTTTCCAGAGAATCTTTTACATTACATGTTTTTATATTTTGAAGTTATTTACTTGTATTTGTGCAATTTTACATGTCTTTACAATTGAACCTTTATTCATGCAATTTAGTTTCACGCGCATTTACTTGATCATGTCATTAGATCTTTAATAGAGTAATCGGAGTAAGTTAAACACCTACACAACATTCTAAATACCAACCATGAACATCAGTTCTATAATGAGAATTATCCAAATGACCAATACTCCATAGGATCAATCTAGCCGATCCTGCAAGTTACCAGAGAGATTAAATAACAGTCATTAAGATTATTTGATAGTTTGGAGGACTAGCGGTTGTTTACCAGAAATAACTGTAAACAGTGTCTTGAATCGGTTTCACTATGATACATGCGTCTAAATCTCGGAATTATAGGAAAATACCATAATACTTTTGCTGGAGATAACTTTTTCTTATATCGAGAGACACCGCATTTAGGACATTCATTTAACGATGCATACTCGTTTTGAAACAAAACGCAATCGTTTAGACAAGCATGTATCTTATCATAGCTCATGCCAATAGAACACAACATCTTTTTAGCCTCATATGTTCGATTGGGAAGAAGATTATCCTCTGGTAGCATATCTTTCATAAGGGCTAATAACTCTGTGAAACTTTTATCCGACCATCCATTGCCCGCCTTTAAGTTGTACAACTTTAATACCTCAAACAATCTTGTGAATTTTGTACAACCATTATACAACGGTTTCTCTACATCGCTTACGAACCTCTCAAACATTTTGGGAAAATCCTTAAGTTCTTCTTCAAGTGCTTATGCAATCTCTTTGACTCGATCATAATCGTATGTATCTGTGCCATTGTCGTTTAAAGCATAGGTCGTATTATCCCCCGATTCAACATTCCCGTTACTTTTCTCACCATGAAAATTCTAACATGTATAACTTCTATCAATTCCATGCCTCTTTAAATGCGATGCCAACTGAACCGCGTCAACCCAAATCCCATAGCAGCAACTCAAGCAAGGACATGTCATTCGCCTGGGGTCTTTGGTGTGCGCCACATCAAACTTAATGAATTTTGATACCACATTCTCGTACTCTTTCGTCAATTGACTCGAAGACATCCATTTCTTATCCATGGTATTACTAATTAAGCTAATCAAAAACAAAATATAAAAAATTTACCTGTAGGAAAACGATCCGAATTTCACACTTTGATCACAAGTAACCCCTATATATAGCAAATTCAATAAATTAGTTCCCAGTCATTGCAACCAATACTCATCCATCGTAGCAGTTCATTCAAATGGTTTTACTAATTAAGCTAAACAAAAAGGTTAATTATTCACGCAACTATAGCAAAAGAACAACTAATTACCTGTATAGAAGTAATCAACTTCTGGACCCACACAATGTAAGATTCGTGTAAACGATCGGACTTTCACTTTGCACCTGTAAAACAATCATACTATCAATATCAATCCAACTTTTCACTTTTCAATGTCTCTTCAACAAGATTTTGATTTACTTATTCAAAACAACAACAAAATTTTAATTTATTCTTAAAATACTCCATTTATTAATGGTATAGTGATAATATCATATCTCTCATTAGTTCTTAGTAATGACTAAACTACTTTTTTGTACATCAAAAGCAATGAATATATTTGTTATGAAAGAGTATGTTACTTCATTTTAGTCCAAAGTAGTTTTTCCTTCTAAGAATAAATTTCTTAACCAAGTATTTTTCAACAAACAATCCCTTGAGAATCTCAGACTTTGTAAACGACTCTACCACCTAATCAGACAATTATTATACAATTGCGACGACAAAAAATCCTTGAGTTGAATATGATTTATTGACTTTCCACTTTATTATTCGGTTTTGTTTAGCAGTTAAATAAGTGTTACGTAGCCTTTTATTATTTGTTAGTTTACTAGTTAAAAACAATTAATTTCCATACCTTGTATTTGACAGAACTTATTCAACTTCTTAACAAACTTAAAAACTTGAACAATGTACAAAACAACAAGAACAACAACAAGAACAATGTAGAAAAGAAGAACAATAACAGCAACAATGTAGAAAACAACAACAATGTACAACAAGAACAATAACAACAAGAACAACAACAACAAGAACAATGTTATAACAACAAGAATGACGTACCCGAACTACGACGGTCTACGGAAAGAAATGGTTGGAGAAGAAACGATTAGGAACGGTCGGAGAAGAATTGGTCGGAGAAGAAACGGTCGGAGAAGAAACAATTAGGAACGGTCGGAGAAGAAACGGTCGAAGAAGAAGACAACGATTAGAAATGAATTAATAGGGTTCTGAAAGTTTTATATTTTAATTTTATAATTTGACCTAAGACAGCGCTTTTTAAAAGCGCTTTCTATCATACAAGATCTAGTAGCGCTTTCACGAGAAAGAGCTTTCTTAAGTGGGGAAATTTTATATTTTAATTTCAAAATTTGACATAAGTCAGCGCTTTTTAAAAGCATTTTCTATCATACAAGATCTAGCAGCGTTTTCACGAGAAAGCGCTTTCTTAAGTGGGGCGAATTTAAGCCCTTTAGCGGCGCTTTTTAAAAGCGCTTTCTAAAGGCTGTCTGTAGCAGCGCTTTTTTTAGCGAATTTTTTAAAAGACTTACGACAGCGATTTCTCAATAAAGCACTTTTTAAGGTAGGGCATTTAGCACCGCTTTTAAAAAGCGCTTTCTAAAAGCTGTCTGTAGCAGTGCTTTTTTTTAGCGAATTTTTTAAACGACCTACTGCAGCGTTTTCTCATTAAAGCGCTGTCTTTTTGGTGATGCCAAAAGTCAATTTTGGCGTAGTGAACACCAAACTTTCTCACTATTTATAATATATAGACTCTTATATTGACCGATTCTTTAATAGTTAAATCTTAAATTTATCACACGTATACACTAATCAAATCATTCTTTTTCATAAAATCAACATCTATTTCTAAAGAAAACATTTGAGCTAATATATTGAAAACTTAATAATTATACATGTCATACATTTGTTCTTTTATTTCAATCATTTTCAATCAACGCATGTATTAGAAACTTATAGAAAGAACGTTACAATTATAATTCAATTTGTCTGTATACTAATTTATAATACAATCCTAAGAGATAAGTGTTGTTTTTATAATTAATATTGTTTTAATTCTTAATAAAAAGAGTAGAAGTTTTAACAAAAAGCACGTGGGGAAAATCCACCCCGCCACATCCTGCCTCAGTCCGCTTTTTTAAGCAGGTTAGGCGGGATGGACCAACTTAAGATACCGAGCCGAAAATCTCAGGCCAACCCACCAAAAATAACGGGTCAAACGGGCGAACCCGACGGGTCCAATCCATTTTGCCACCCCTACCTACTATCTATTTCAAGTAGTAAATATGATATTTGTACTCACACCATACTTGTGTGTGTATACGCCAAACAATATATATAAATTTTAAAATACTCACGAGTACTTACGGATATTTATGTATTACTATTTAAATATTTTTTTATAAAATAATATAATTATTTTTTTATTTTTAAAATCTTATTTACTCTTTTATCAAATAATTATTTTAGCTGCAATAAATAAAAATAATTTTATAATAATAATAATAATAATAATAATAATAATAATAATTTTATATTTAACAAAATAATATAATAATAATAATTTTAAATTAAATAAATTAATATTTAAGTAATTTTTTCAATTATTAACGAATACATATACATATACATATTTGATAGTGTCTCTACCCTTACCGTAAAACAATAAGTAATAAATATTTATTTATTTTATTTATAAATATTTATTAAGCTATCCAAATTCATGATTGAATTTATTCACGAATATTCACAATTGTGATTTTTTTTTTTTGTCATCTCTAGTCATAAGGCATAGCTAATATGAATTAAAAGTCCACTTAACATTTTTATATCATGTTTTTTCCAACAAAATTTAATTTAGGTGTATTCTATTTATTTATTTGATAAATTATTTATTATTATTATTATTATTATTATTATTATTATTATTATTATTATTATTATTATTATTATTATTATTATTTGTTTCATTGTCGCACAACAGTTGTTTGATTATAACTGATTGGTTTTAAAAATATTTATATTGTTCGTGCATAAATTAAGTTCAAATTATATAACTTAATTGCTATTGTTTCGAAAAATAACAGGTACAATTTGATTAAATATAAAGTTTATTATAATATTTTTCAGCCCCGTTGAATATACTTCTAGATTTATCTCTAATCTCATGATAATGCTATCTTAGCATACTCAAACAAAGATATTTTATTTGGTGTTCCAAAACTAATATCCATCTGATATTAAACTTTGAATTTCAATAGCACCCTTCTTTGCTATTCCGCATATGAGACAAGTATTGAGTAAAGCTTCACACGCTTTACATGAAGATATATGCCTACATGGCAAAAATAAGACACCAGGAGAGTTTGTGTTACACATAGGACAACACATGCTATTGTTACTTCCTTGTCTCACACGTTTTTCAGCTCTTGCTTCTTCATTTTCACCACAACATGATTCTGCATCATTATTTGCTACCAACATTCTTATTCTCTTCTTTCCCTCTTTCAACTTGTTATGGAGATCCATTGCCATTGCTCCCTTTTCCTCAGCCACTCTCTTCAATTTCATTTTCTCATTCTCTAAACTCCTTAAGATATTTTCCAACTCTTGTTTTTTCTTTGCACCTTTCGCGATTTCTTCATCCTTTCTTTTCAGAATTTGTTGCCAATATATTTCCATGCGTCTAACCGCACCCTCTTGTCGCTCCCTTTGATATTCTAACATGAATTTCAATTTATCATTCTATAAAAAAAATCATTAGAATGGACATAAAAATATTCATTCAACACGAACATTATTTTATTTTATCTAAGTCATTATCGAAGTGAAACCTAATCTTAACTCATGATAAATGTGAATTTTCACCTGAATTCTGAGAAATCGGTCTGTCTCGTGCTCTTGCTTCTCCAATAGAGTAACAAGGCTAGGAGAATTTAATGTGTTTGAAGCATGACCATATCTCTCCCATTGATGTTGATATTGCGGTGGACATGAAGAAAAATCATGATTAGCGTCAGAGCACGGTAGCATAGCCATTATTTTAGAACCATATATTTGAACCTTGATGAAATAAATGTTGAAATGAGATTTCATAGTGTGATGGATAGTCTGAAATATATATATAAAAATAAATTTCAACAACTCTATTTTATATTTGAAATAAAAATCAATTAATGAGTCAACTTTTTTTTCTTTTCTTTTCATATGTTTCCTAGGTAATCCTATGGGATGCACTTTACACTCAAAGTAGGAATTTCTTGTAAAAATTTATATATTGGTTGTCACATTGTAAAAAAATGGTTAGCTTTTTGGAAAATTTCATTCTATACATTAATTAGTCAACACAGATATTAAATTTAATATATTAAATTGTGTTATTCATGTTTTAATGAATAAAAAGTTATCTGAAAAACTAAAAAAAAAAAAAAGAGAACAGAGGAGAAGCCTATATATTAAGAAAAAAATATTTTAGAGATTTTTTAAATGTTTCCTTTTCAATTTTTTTAGCATATAATACATTATTCTTTGTATTTCAGTCTATATATCTACCATATGCATATTTTGTGACTACATTATCAGGTCAGAAATTCCAGAGCCATTTGTTTTGGTTTTTGATAAACAAAAAAATGAATTTTATTTTTTATTTCCTAATTTATGTTTGACACAATTGAGAATATCAAAAACATTTTATTTTTTCTTTATCTCAATTTTTTTTTAAGTTTGTAGTGTTTAATTTTTTTAAATTTATCACGTTGTTTTGATTTTGAATATGCATTATCAGTATAAAATAATTTTATTGATTTATATTATGTCAAATTTTACTTAAATTTTAAAATTATCAGTCAAATTTTTTTATTCTAAAATGAAAAATATATTTATTGTAATTTATCATTTTCCTAATTAAAAATATGATGGATTAAGTCAATTCAAAGAATTGTTTATTGAAAAGAAAGTAGGAACCTACAATATATATATATATATATATATATATATATATATATATATATATATATATATATATATATATATATATATATATATATATATATATATATATATATATATATATATATATATATATATATATATATATATATATATATATATATATATATATATATATATATATATATATATATATATATATATATATATATATATATATATATATATATATATATATATATATATATATATATATATATATATATATATATATATATACTTTTCTTCCTTTCCTTTTCATTTTAGAATTTCTTTTCATGATAATTCTGGTTCATGAATTTTTAATATAACTTGTTTTTTTTTTTAAACTCAATTGTAATATATATATATATATATATATATATATATATATATATATATATATATATATATATATATATATATATATATATATATATATATATATATATATATATATATATATATATATATATATATATATATATATATATATATATATATATATATATATATATATATATATATATATATATATATATATATATATATATATATATATATATATATATATATATATATTTATATATTTATTGTATATTCCAGAAAGATTAGCTTTGATCGGGTCATAAAGTCGTCTGTGAAGGGAACAAAGCGAGTGTTTGGCCCGTAAAGACAAAGAATATCTGGGAAGAGGTGTAACTCAACTAAGGATCAAGAACGACAATTATTGTATCTGGGAAGCAACCCATTTATGCTACCAACTCAGATATTACATGTAACCGGAGTCCATATGCTCAGAGCCGACTAGTAACCCGATCCATTAATGACTGTAACAGTTGTCGGTGCATCAAATTCAGCATTACGCAGTCTTGAATGCACTCATTCATGGTGACGACGACAGTTATGCAGTTAGGAAGTCAAAGAGTCACCTCTTGAATGAGGCTCTTAATTACGCAAACAGAAGACTATATAAAGGGGCTCCCGCCATATGGATAAGCAAGACATTCATCTTGGGTTAATACACAACATCAGTGTAGCACCCAAATCCCCACGTATACTACAGAAATCTACCCATTGAGGTTCTCCTTGTTCCTACAAGGAAGCCACTCGTTTAGTGTTTTTCGCAAAAATATTTGGCGTCCACTGTGGAGTCTCGGTAAAACTTTTCTAGGCCACACATCACATTCAGAAGAATATCCACTAATGGGGATCAACACTCCTCATATACGAATCAATTACTTAACCTGACCCAAGTCATACTTCCCAAATCGAGACTGAGTAAAAAAACTGACTGAGACGATTTTATCCTCTGCCTAAGAGCAATAGTCGAATTGAAATCCAAGCACACTCAAAGCCTCTGGAATAGTTAGTCAGGTATACTCGTCTACATAGCGAAAGAATTCTGAAACAAACGGATAAAATTCTTGTGGTTTCCAAACATAACAAACTAAGGGACCGTACAAATAAACACACGACTTCTTAACCCAACCATAAAAGGCTTGGGGCTTGGGGCTCATGAAGGAAAAATTATAACAAGAATCTGAGCACATTTGGTTCGCTTGAGGCTTATCAACCCCAATTTATAAATAGAATGGAAAGAGCTCAACCTCAAGCAAATGTGGAGTTCTTAAACCGAAAGCAGATATGCTTGAGCACACACTACTAAAGACTTTGTGATCGGGAAGGCGCAACATGCGAATAACTCATGAACATGCCGAGTTCGAAGTCACATGGGTCTCCATTTAAAAGGCTTAAAATAATGCCTAACAATCCATGATTGAACGCTGTAAGCTCCAAAAACTTTGTTCCCTAGGGGCTTACGTACATTTACATAATTATTTGAAAATGATGTTGCAATATTAAAATTCAAAAAAGTAAACTAACATAAAGCCACAAAAGGTGAATAGTTATTCATTACAAAGCCGAAATGCAGAAATTCAGGAACATAACACAAAAAAGGGGGGACGAAACCACATACCCTCACAAAATTACATAAATGCATCCTAAACGGGTGACTAACCAAAATAGAACAAGAGAAATAAAATCAACTAAATTGGGGTTAGCATTCCTGTCAGCATTGTGGTTCTCGCCAAGAGGATCTTCAGGATTCAGCTTGGAGGAAGGATCCTTTTCAACCTCCTCAAGATCTATAAGGCGGGCCGTCCTACACCACCTGAAGAAATCTACCTCCAACAAATCCAAACTGGGATGAAGGCACAACACCTGATCTTTAGCCCAGTTAAAAGCCTCAATCACCGGCAAAGAGAAGTTCAACCTGCGACTTCTTGAGGGCGTCTTTGAGCTCGTCATTGGTTGCTTTCTCCATCCTTAACCTTTCATCGAGATGAGAAATGGAAGCTTGGATCTCTGATTCCAAGGTTCCATCCGCTTCTTCTCCTCGACCAAACTCTTTTCCAAACCAGATAACTTCTCGAACTGAGTCTTATGAGCCTCCTTTAGCTGAGTGGTCTCATATTTGAGCTTTAGCTTAGTCTTCTCATGATCATCACCAGTTTCGAAAAGGCCACGAGTCAGAACAACCTCACATAGTTGAGGTTCTGCATCATCTTCTGTCTGCCTACTGTCTTAACTTTATTAACATCCTCAGTCACATTGAAATGATCGTAGAGGAAACAAAGTCCATCGAAGCTATTAGACTAGAATTTAAACTCCCCAGATTCTTGGCCTTCCCCGGGCTCTCTCATCAATGAAGTTATCTCTAAATCTGCTCGACGGGCTTCATCAATCATAATATTCTTAAGTTTCTTCAGAGAACCTTGTTGAAACTTTTCTTGAAGGGGTGAAGTAGAAGTTTGAGGCTCAGCTATGCTGGAGGTAGCATTCAAACCCGTCGCCTTTCGCCTCTTCAATGACCGAGTTTCTAACCCCGATCAAGTCAGACTTTACCGCTGAAGGCCCGCCAGCCCCCTTCTGGGCGACTCGAGCCTCCAACAACAATTTCTTTTGCTCGACAACAGATAGATCCATCATTTTGTCTGCACATCAAAGTGTAAAAGTCATTAGTACCTGAAAGAAATCAAGTATGGTTATTAAACATAAATACAATCAAGATTACCAAGGAAATCCGGGACCTCTTTGGCCGTTAAGGGTATCAGGTCTCTAACCCTCATCATGTGGAAGGGGTCAAGTACACCTAGATCTATGAGTTTCGAGTCGCTAAGCTTATCATAGATAAAACCGGAGATCGACGAAGGTCTTTAGTCTAATAATGGGGAAAACTCAGGTGCGCGTCTAGAGTATATAGAACTCGGGGGCACCGTGTTCCATACTTGACTCGCTGAAATCGATCCTTAAAACCCTTGTAATTCGAGGTATACAACTTGAAGAAAACTCTTGTGGGGAATGCCACTAATCTGAATCCATGTTAACTTCTCGACCCCTTTCATCTCAAAGAAAGAAAAGAATAAACCTATGATAGGAGTAATATGCATCGCCTCACAAACTATTTCAAAGACTTTTATAAAACCCCAACTGTTTGGGAAAAGCTGAGAGGGTGCGACATTCATAGTATTCAATATGTATACCTTAAATAAAAGAACTCTTCTTCAGAGCCCTTTGGACGTAGTATACACACCCGTTCCCCAGGGTTACTGGATTCCAGGATGACGTCGTCCATCGTTACTAATTGAAAAAATATCCATTAGTTACCAGACCTTGGCAATCTCTTCATCATCCATTGAGTTATTCTTGTAGCCCATAACTTCGAGATCAAAAGGGAAAGTTGTTTTCATCATGATTTCTACAGAACCTGAGGAGGAAATTTAGAGTTAGAATCACTTAAGAGACGAGGATATCACCATAAACTTCTCTTGTGATTCGATCAAATTCCTCTAACCTAAGACACCCTTAACCTCACGCATGCATTGATCCACAAATCTCTTCTCCTCTTCAGCGTTTCTAGGTTTATGATATTTCCCTCATCGTCACACCTCTCTTATGGTTACCATTTTTCTGAAAATTAAAGAAAAAAACATAAAAGTAAAGAGAGAGAGAGAGAGGAGAGAAGAGAGAGAGAGAGAGAGAGAGAGATGAGAGAGAGAGAGAGAGAGAGGAGAGAGAGAGAGAGAGAGAGAGAGAGAGAGAGAGATAGAGAGAGAGAGAGAGAG